ACACACTGATTTCTCTCTCTCTCTCTCTCTCTCTCTCTCTCTCACACACACACACACACACACACACAGAGCGATCCTCTTGTGGTAGTGCACTATTTCTCATACGTTTGCCCAGCATCACCGTCAACTTCCTCCTCTGTGTCTCTGTCTGTCCGTCGGTGTCTCTCTCATACACACAGAGTGATAGGAGTTGAGTATTCATGGTAGGCAGAAGGCATTTTCCACTGTATCTGTAGATGAGTTTTTAGGAAGGATGTTCAACCCTTGGCACGTGCCCTGATTAGTTTTCGAGCAGCTTTGATATCACTACAGCTTGTCCAGTGTAGGACTTGGTGTTGGTGAAATGGGTGTTGCATCAATTTTTCTCCCTCTTGTCGCAAGTATGCAAGCTTGTGTCTTATGTATGATGGCTCTATCCCTTTCATTGCCTTGCAAGTTTCCTTGCCCATCAGTTCTCCTTCCATCACCATCGGCTGCTTGACTTTGTCTGCCATCCCAACGATGCTCATCATTCATCTCCTCTTCTCCATATCTTTCACACTCTTGACCACGTTCCAACCTTTCAAAAAAGCCGCCTTCATTGGAAACTGCTGTCCCGTCATTTGCGCAGATACGATGTGGAGACGCCACAGCATTCACTTCATTGCATTGATTGAATTGGCACTGCTCATCGTGACCTCCATGAACTCCTTTCCTAAGATGTTCACCCACCCTTCTATGTTCACACACCCATGTCTGTCTCTTCCATCTTGTAAAGAAGGCTACTATTTGATTGGGAAAATTTGCATGGTACCCCTAAAGGTTGCCACATTTTGCGTGACGCCCATATAAGTTTCATGATTCGTTGCATGCCGCTGCCACACTTGCAAGTGTCCGGCACATACTTATGACCACTTTTCACGATCCTTATCTTTCTGTTCCAAGAATGTGAGTTGTTGCCCACCCCCTTCAAAAAGTCTGAGCTGCCCGTTCCGCCCAGGGCACCGCCCAAATTTTCGGCCAGTGAGACGAGAGGCCAGCAGGACCGCGGTATGGGCCAAACTTGGGCAGTCCCGGTCCGCGGCATGAGAATGGGGGTGCAGGCCCAAGCAATGCAGCGGGTTTCCCACAGATTTGGACCACCATGTCAGAGGGGTATATGACCAAATAATGAACCATGCTAGGCAGCAGAGGAAATATCCAAACTTTCAGGGTACCACACAAGTTTTCCCTTATGAATCGTCATTATTTATTTATTTCATTTATCCGTTTTGAGCGGATGAGAATCCCAAAACCGCATCTCAGGATTCGTGAACACACATGACATCAAACTGCTAATAAAGACTTAGGAGTGATTAGCTGTGCAGAGAGACAATAACCTTTCCAGGAGTGAACTGAACCCACCTTAGCTTGTTGTTCATAAACTTGAATGAAGAGCCTAAACTTATTCCCTTCTCTTCTCAACTATGCAAGCCTGAAAGATTGTGGGGTGGTACGATCAGGGGGTCAAATCTCTGGCTGGATGGACTCACCTCTCCATCTAGATCTAAAGCTCTGCACAAAGAGATTCTTCATCATTCACAACTCGGAACACCTAAAAAAGCTCTGCACGAGCATGAGCTTCTTTGTCATTTGCAACCCGTAAAGTTAAGTTCAATCCCATTGTACAAAAAGACAGAGGTACAATAGTACATAGTCTACAGATACATAGTCTACAGATATATGAATGATTGCGTAACACGGATGTAGGCACTCACTCAAAAGAGTCAAAACAGTCTCTTTTTTGTTTGTTTGTTTAGTTTAGAAAAACAACCTCACGATGCTAGGTGGGGATGTAAACAGAGTCACATAATATGCCCGCACAAAATCAAGTGCATCAGAAAAACCAATATAAATCACAGTGCATCCACTCGCTGCGGCCATCTCATGGCCCGCATGAAAGTGTGTTTTTAACTCTTCGTTTGCAGAAGGAGATAGAAGCCGATGGGTAATGCTGACCCTGCTACAAAAGACTGCATCACAAGGCAATATTCAAGAAAGGACACAAATTCAATTCACAAGTCGCCAGCAACACAACCAGCAGACCACACATTATCATGGACTTGTGCATGTGACTACCACCCTTAAGCTTCAGGGCCCATGAATGATACCGGCGGTCTTCTTTTTGTATTAGTCCGACATGATGCAATTACCCACCAGCCGCTCGAAGAGAATTGGGATTGAGCGGCTGTCGCAGCCGTTCTTACCTTCCCCTTCCTACCCCTCCACTTCCCCCCTCTCCCTCCCTCCCTCCCCTCCCCCGTGAGCACATGAATAGAAATCCTATCGTCCTCATGTGGATAGTCATTATATTCAGTGCACTTTCAATCCAGATTCACCAATAATGACCAAGCGTTCTATTTGCACGAAGTTGGCAGTGGCCCCTCTCAACCAATCAGATGCTTCAGATAGCCAACCTTGTGTACCCCCTAAATGCTCATCCAAAAACCATATGGGCAAGGGATTTGGTTTTTGACCTTTTTTCCTTTCTGAAAAGATTCCATGTAGCCTGGTGGAGGGGTTCCACACGCTCTGCACATACCTCGTCAGTCAGTCTCTGAGTTTCTGGCTGCTACATGTGCATACATGCGTTTTTTTTTCAATAAGGAATTAACAGCTCAAAAGGAAGGGGGGGTGGGGGGCCTGCGGAATCCCCCCCCCCCCCCCCAAAACATTACCCCCCCCCCCCCCCCCCCCCCCTCTCCTCCTGGGTCAATTTGTGACTATATCACTCTGACATGTACAGAGAAAATATTTCTTTTATTCCCATTGGCTGGTGACTTTGTAATTGTGACACATACACAGGAAATGTCTTGTGTGTTTTATAGAAAATTCCGTGCACACAGCCACAGACAAACACTGCAAGCAGCACCTGCGACTTTCTGGCTCGTACAAAGGAAATGCATGTTTCTCTCTCTCTCTCTCTCTCTCTCTCTCTCTCTCTCTCTCTCTCTCTCTCTCTCTCTCTCTCTCTCTCTCTCTCTCTCTCTCTCTCTCTCTCCGCCCATTCTTCTTGGCATCTCAAATATCTTAGAGCTGAGTCTGGCAAGAAAGTCACATTGAGACATTCAGAAAGTCCAAGTGTGACCATTCGCACTCTGTGGAAGGCATCTTCCCAACGTTAACCGCCACCTGTCACGCACTTGTTGTACTTCGATGTGCGGATTTCTGTACTCGTCCGCGCCACGTCAACTTTTATTAGGGGTCTGTCCACTATCTTTCCATGGCGAGAGCACGCTTGATTGGAATCCTTGCATGGTGTGAGAGCACGCTTGATTAGAATGGTTGCATGGTGTCGTGATGTTATGTGGATTTGATTATCACACATGTAATGGATGGTTGTTCTCTTCTCCGATGAATTGTAGATTTCATTTTGCTCTCATCGTTCCCAGTGACGTTCTCCTTTCCTTTCACTTTTGTGGACTGATTGTATTCTCATGGACGAGGACGAAAAACTCATGAACGACAGTGATTTGGATGATGAGCTATGGAAGAGAAAGTGTGGATCGTCGGATGACTCAAGTGGCAGGGAAGAGCAGGCAGATGAAGACTCCGGTTTTGAGCTACGACCAAAGTCGGCGGTCCCAGGCACGACGTGTTGGAAAAAGGCGGACTGGACGACAACACAGAGAAGTGTTACTCCCAGCAATGATGTCGAGTTCGCAGGGCTAGATACTGATGTCGAGATGTTGCTGCAAACAAGGTTAGACGAAGATGAGGAGGATGCGAACCGTGCCAAGGCTATGGCTGACCGGGAGACCGAACTCGTCAACAAGTGTATGATGAAGGAGGAGGTCCGCCGTACAGCTATCCCGACCCGCAGAGAGATCGAGAGAGGGCTCAAACAAGCTAGGGAATATCAACAGTAGACCAATCAGGCATTGGAGGTTGCAGAAGATGGAGAAGACGAGGAGGAGGAACACCAACCAGACGTGGGAGACGACATGGAGCAGAAAAACGAGGTGGAGGGCATGGTGCGACCAGAGGAGGGAGTGGAGATGGAACATCAAGAAGAGTAGGAAGACATAGCGCAAGGTCGGGAGGAAGAGGAGATGCAGCAGAAAGAGGAGGGGGATGGATTGCCGCAGTAGGAGGTGCAACAAGACGAGGTTGATAAAGCCCGCAATAACAAGCCCCATCCCACATCGACAGCAGTCTACACATGCAGGCCTCGGTCAGCGGAGTTTCCAAAGTCGAAGGAGAAGATATCGAAATTCCCCACAATGAAGGAGACTGTCCAGCATGATAACATGTGGGTGAGCCGAGTGGACAGGAAGAGAAAGGAGTCATCAGATGACGCTCCTATACGACCGAAATGTCCTCGTGCAGACCCCGAAAACCCAAAACCGACACAGCCACTACACCGGCAAAAAAAAGAAAACAACACCTCAAGCGTAAGACGGTGGTGGAGAATGATCCGGAATCAGCTCACTGCAACGAACAGCCATCTGAAGACGAGGGTTGTGACACTGATTTCGAATCACATTAGCATGTCTAAGAGTGTGTATGTTTGTGTGTGTGTGTGTGTTAGAGTTTTTCATGACAAGCATGTCGATGCAAAATACGGAAACCGTATTGCCATCAAGCTCCGAAGTAATTCATCGG